AATTAATACAAAATATCAGCTGGAGACATGTGCCCGACGCTTCAAAAATCGGTATTTTTGTGACTTGTGACTTGACTTAACTTAGCGAAGAATAACTTGGGACTTCACTTGGACTTGCAAAAACTGACTTGTTACCAACGTGAATCAGAGGTCACCTGAGTGACCCCACCAACTTTTAACTTAGGCCTATCAATTTCAATTTATGCACCAAAGTATACCAGTCACGTGAGTCAAGTTCAATATTCAAAACTTGTAACTCTTGAGCTGACGACTGGACCTGTTTGCACATCACAGCTGGAAAAAAGAATAAGCAACTTGACTTGTACTTGGACAAAGAGACTTGTCTTTTTGTTTTGAGTGTATGCCTTGTGACTTGACCTGACCTGTGACCAAATGACTTCTGACTTGACTTGTGACTGAACTAAATAACTTGTGACTGTACGAGTGACCAGATGACATATGAATCGACTATATGTCTTGGGACTTAATGTGACCTGTGACCAAATGGCTCGTGACTTGCCTGGACAAGCTCGACTTTACCTGTGACCACATGATTTATGGCTTGGCTTGTGACTGGACTAAACGACTTGCAAACTGACTCAACCGGTGACCAACTGACTTTAGGCTTGACTTGTACTTGCAATGAATGGCTCGCTGTGTCACCTCTGCAAAACAGTGAACATAAGTTGATTTTGTTGGTTACGGTCATAAAAATAGACGGAATAATACAACTCAACCTGTCGACGTCGATTCGTAATCACACTTTTTTCGTCACTGTTGATAAAGCTTCGTGTCCGGCCGGAGCTTACGGGTCGAGACAGTACGTGATCTGGCTGACGAGGTGTCTTCAATAACGCTTGGCAACAGGCACGCTAAATTTGACGGCCTGCTTTGAAACAGGACACGACTTAAAAAAAAAACAACAGTCTTTGCAACCTCAGAATCTTAATGCCAAAACGAATAAATAAAATTAAAGTAAGAGACATTAACCCAATCCAAAAAAAAAAAAATTGAAAGCAAAGTAGAACGCAAAATGACTCAAAAAGTAATAAAACCAAAGCAAGACACGAATACATCAACAAATGAAACCCAAAACAGAGAAGAAATGGAGAAATCATAAGACAGAAAGCAATAACAACAATATGTTTGGAAACATTTAATATTTTAATGGTATTTTTGTATTAGGATAGTCTCTGGTGCCAGTCACTGGACTTAGGTTGAGACCTGTTTAAAATCGATTAGGATTTTTTTCCAGGGGTTCAGTTACCGATGTCATTGTGGGACGCTTGAAGAACACTGGAGTACATGTACATTTATATGAAATCTAATTCTAAAGAGAAAGCTTGATTTAGAGTCTTGCCGCCAGGCAGGAGGCGATGCTTCGCAGTAATGACAGCAGTGCCCAATAGCAGCGTAAACATGTCACACATATTAGCAGATTGTCTGTCAACTAGTCGACAAGTAAAGGGCATGTTTCTGGGCTAAATGTATCCCATCTCGAGTGTCTTGTACGGGCAGACGACAACGGCCGGCCGGCTGGCTTTAATGCCGAGAGAGAGACAAAGAAATCATACAGTCGTGCGCAAACTTGTTCAGCACGTGTACCGTTACCAACCAAATGCGTTTAGGATCGACTGGCTTGCTGCTTGCAGGGTAAATTGTAACGATTGGAAAAAAAGGTTTGATGGAAAAGGCCGGGAAACCGTTTTTTTCCCTTGCTCCTCCTTTCATTTCCGAGCGAGTTGGCAGATTCTCGTATCGGTAGTTTTTCTCGCAATCCTCTTGTGCTGCGCTTGGGACGAATTATTTCGCGAGCAAATCGCCTGTCGCCAGGTTTCGCATTACAAGCCCTCAAAACATTTACTGTTCATTGCAGATGTTTAAAGGTAATCCGTACATTTTCTTCCACTGTCCCTTAACAGCCCAGAGGGCGGAGAATGGAATCCTCTTCGGATGTCACTTTCGCCTACCGCACTTGTTATCGAGGCTGCGGAGTGATTTGATATATAGGTTTTGAAACTGTTGTTGTCCATTGGCTCCTGTAAATGTCAAATCGTCGTAGATCTGAATTGCCTGCGCAGGAAGACTGCTGATTTGGCAAGTAGTTGTACAGTGCTGTGCCTTACTGTACCGAAAATGTGTACATGTATCAAACAACAACGCGTTCAAGTTCATACCGAGTGTTGGTCATTGTCTCGCAGGAATCTGGGGAATTCCTTTCAGACATCTTGGGGATGTGTTAGTAACAANTCTCATTTCTTGCTGGGTATAGTTGCAGTCGAAGGGGTTTAAATCGTCTGGTCCTTAGGCTTGGAGTCGGCTCAAATAAACCCCACCTTAGCTCTTTTAAGGTTGCCGGCAAGTTCCCAGACACGTATTGCTGTCTTCATTTTGCATCGCGCTCTTGATAGTACACCGAAGTAGGACACCTGAAACCCGCCGCACTAGATCACGAGAGCTCCCTTCCGAGGAAAGAAGTCATTCGAGGCCATTTGCTCACGTGTAGGGTCAATGTTTACTGCGCTCTCTTGCCTTGCGGTGCCGTTTCACAATAATTGAATAGGAGAGTTATTGACATTGGTGTCGCTATCTTAACCACTTTTATCCAATGGGAAAATTGCTGCTTGGAGCACTTATCAGTTAAGAACTGATAATGGATAGTGGGAGGGGATAGTTTAAAAATAAGGGTTTTGTTTTATTTGGTTTTTCAAGCAGATTGGTGAGTTTCGTCACCTTTCATATCTTAATTCGTTTCTTTTGCCTTAACGCATTCCTGGTTTTCATTTCACATTTTTGTCATCAAGGGAGACGGCGGGCTTTACATGTTCCCCTTGAGACAGAGGCAGTTCTGTTGTTCCACAGGGAAACCTCCTTTGTCCATACCTAGTGGAACAAAAGCACTGCCCTGCAAGATGGCCGCCATGCAAACCTTCTTTACACCTTCTTTACTTGCTGGCACCTCAAGCATAGCAAATCGTGTCAGCTAAAAGAGGTGTCCTTACATTGTGAAGAAGTGCAACACGCGTATCACTTCTTTTTTTTTAACTGGGAGCTTAACTGTCGTGCTTCCATTAGCAATACTGCTTCAAGATGGCAGCCATGCAAACCTTCTTTACATTTGCTGGCATCTCGAGCATAGCAAATCGTATCAGCTAAAAGAGGTGTCCTTACATTGTGAAGAAGTGCAACACGCGTATCACTTCTTTTTTTTAACCGGGAGCTGAACTGTCGTGTTTCCATTAGCAATACGTCCCGCGCCCGTGTCCTGTTTGCTTTACCCTGTGATTTCCTTCATTTAGTGTTATCGTAAGCCCACTTGAACAAGGAGTTAATGGGGTTTTTGTCACGCTGTGACCAGGATTGACTTCCGAAAACCTCCTAGTGTCTGGAAATTCCAATCCCAAGATTTTCAGATCCGCATGTGTTCTGCGGGCCCGGGCATACCCAGTCAGATAAGAAAATCGATGTCTGCTTATCAAAACTCGGTAATTCTCTAATCGTTTCCTTTGAATCTCAGCTACATGTCTATATATAAAACCACCTTTGCAAAGTGTTTTTGATGTAGAATCTCTTTCGCCCCACAAGGTGACGAATAGGATTACTTTAAATGCACTAGGAATGATCGATCGCCCTCATAATTTTTGCTAGTGCCGAAAACGATCTTTCTTTCCGCTGTGCGCCGGACGAAACCATCAATAACAGTCGGAGAAGACGCAGGGCGATAGACTTCGTACAAGTTGTATGTGGAGAATCTGGGGTTTTGCCCACACGTTTAGTTTTCATTTTCGTTGCATGTCGCTTTGCATGGTAGCCTAAGGTAGTATAGAGGGTTTGCATAGCTGCCATCTCAGAGGGCAGTTCTTCTATTCCACAGGGAAACCTCCTTTGTGCATTCCCAAATGAAACAAAATCATTATATACTACCTTAGGCTTCTGAACTCCTGAAACGAAACTCTGTTTACATAGGGGCTGGCAGATGATTATGACGTCTTATTAAATAGTGTAAGTATTCTAAATGAAAATGAATGTTCACCAGGATTGACTCTTAAAAAGTGGAATTAAGTACGCGGAGTCCAAGTGTACGACTAAACTTTCGACAACAACTGTATGTTTCTTTAAGATATTCGGTTCCAAGCGAACGAGCGCACTTTGAAATTCCCGAGGGCATACACCAACAATAAATGCAGTCGCTGTGCTTGACGAACCGAATTGGGTTACTGAAAACAAACAAAACCGTATGGCCACCACTTACAGGGTCTAGGGGAACAAATCAACCTGTAGGCCTACTTTAATCTTTAAGAAAGGCAGAACCGCGCAAGAAAAGCAGGACCAGTGGCAACATAAAAACTACGGATATTGAGGTTTAATTCTGACTGCTGCCGTGTCGGTTTAGAGGATTTGGATGTCGAAAAATTCAGAATTAACGGCACGGGGTAGACAATAATCTTGAGGAGATCACACTCAGCGACGGTATTTATCAGTTGATTGCAAGAGAACTTGAGTAGATCCACGTACTCTTTAAATTGAGAGCTGATTAGAAGTTAATACTGTGAAACGCCAGTTGAAAAAACCCTGCAGTGGCCTTACTGTCAAGTAGTCCGATATGATACAGTGAATGATTTTCTGCTTTTCTGCAGTTTACTGTGTTTTGAAAGCTTAAAAGTGTATTGCACATACTTCTCGAGCCAGTCTCATGCTTTCTTCGAGTTAAAGGTTTTGTGCTCAGACTGCATAAGGATTCCACCTGTGTCGAGGCACCAGTCCAGTTCAACTGGACCGTTGGTTTCGTTTATTTTATACAAGTGGAGGGGAAAAGTGTGAAGATGGCGTCCTTTCCTTTAGCTTGTGTTTGAAACCATGAGCCATTACTACAAATACTGGTTGCATTCCCACATGAAGTGGCAAGCTAGCAAGCATGCAGCGTCTGATATTATCTGGATGCCAATTCAATCAGTGTTTAAAAAACAACAACAAACAAATAAACAAACTTTGGCTCTTACCTGGATGTACGGAAAGATGCGGCAGGCCATTTCGCCGAAAAACCAGGTCTCCGTGGTGTCGACGATCACGTTGGCCGGCAGGCAGAGCACGATGACCAACACGTCGGCCACCGCCATGTTGACGATGTAGTAGTTGGTGACGGTGCGCATGTGCTCGTTCCGGAGCACAGCGAAGCAGACCAGGAGGTTGCCGGCCAGGCCGGTGAGGAATAGGACGGCGTAGACCGCAATGAGGAACCACTCGTGCGCGTTGGGCATGACCACCTTCTGCAACATCTGGTACAGCTCGTCCATGTATTCGTCGGTCATCCAGGCCGGCGTCTCCGTCGGGGAGAACGGCAAACTGAGCGGCGGGGGGTTGGGGTTGGAGTTGTTGGGACCCAGGTGTTCGGAGCCCATCTTGGTGATAGTTCCCCCAGTCGGTATCAGTCACTCTGAACAATCTTTAATAGGAATACCTCAAGAGTTTTAAGCACCTTGAAGTGTCAACATTTACGTTGGGCCTGCCCCACTCTTTCGTCCATAGTCGACACTTCGTCGCAAGCTTTCTATATAAGGAAGCTCACTATCTGTACACAAAGACTTATTCGACACCGCATTGCGGTGTTTATTTCGGTTCACTTCTGCTATGAACGACAACTAAACTTTTTTTCTTTCTTGAGAGAAACTGTCTTCAAGCTTTCTTTCCCTTCTTGATTTACGTCAGGTCGGCAAATGTTTAGAACGACACGCTTAAGAACCTCCCTTGATGTAATTTCTCCCTCAAGAAAATGCCGGTGAAGTCTTATACAGACAAGAACGGGTTCGTGGTCTAATAAGTCTTTGGTGAGGTCGTCGAGTATTCACAGACGCGACTGCGGAAGCAGTCCAGCGATGCATCCAGACTACGCCGCACGCCGGGAGAAACCAAACGCTGCCGTCACGCTCAGCAATGCCGCATCGTGGGGTAGGCCATCATGTGCCGCACGGTCCCTGAGGCAGGCAGGTAGTTCCAAAGCGGTGAGCGCACTGGACAACAGACTCTCCAACGGATGATGACAAAGTAGTCCGAAGAAAGCACTCTCCCGAAGCGCCTGTACTTGTTCAAGTGCCGAGGAAAACTTCTGTATGCGGGAAGCGCTCACCTGGAGATTGATACATGGACCACATTTACATTTGCACTGCCGGCCTCGGAAGACAGTTATATAGCAACATCGGGCGGTGTAAAAAACACAACCTCCCCCCGCGCGACGAGCACAGAATACGCCGCTCTTTCCGCGGCGGTGTCTCGCTGCAACTTGCGGCAGGCGTCAAGCACTCTCCGGGGATGGTGGATACGCAGAAAACGGATCGGCCCACAATTGCAGTGGTCCATTCAGATTTCATCGCCCAAATCACTTACGCGCCAGGCTTTTTATAATGCAGCCGACTTCGTTCGCCGTGTGCTGGCATTTCGCTTGGCGCGAACAGGTTGGATGACAAAACAGCGCGCTGACGTCATCAAGTTGTAGATCATCGTGCCTCGCATGGCGTGAATTTACTTTAGCGCCCCCACTTGTTCTTCACTCACACTCATAAACTTGCCTGTTTCGTTGATTCAAGGCTGAGTTGTTATCAACAACATAAACATTGTCTTCAACTCTACAGAAGTTTCTCCTCATTCATTGCTCATTCCACATGCGTAAAATCTAATTGTTCCCGACCAACAAAAATATGGATCATTTGTGAAATCGTGACATTGTTTTGTTCATCCCTTCGTAACGTTTTACCTTAGGAAGACGCAATGTGCCTCATGTACGGCAAAGAACTTACTTAAACAGTGGACAAACGACGCGTTTATTTCACGCATTTAGAATTTATTAGCAAACGCTAGTTCGGTGTTGGAGAAATAATGAGCACCATGCTGGGCTGTCAGCCCGCAACAACGTTAAAAATATTGAGCAAAATACTAAAACAACTAAGAGTATTGACGAATGGTCTCTTTCCGAAAGAACAATGATTTTAGGCCTGTGATTTGGACAGTGACATATAACTTCTGAAGAACTGAAGTAGTTAAAAAGTGATAGTAAGGTTATAAGGATGTAAGAGTTTGTACTTTTTAGGGGAGGGGGATATTGCAGAACATTGTTTCTGCCTGTCCACACGCCTAGAAGGCATTTAAAGTGGATGTTCACCTTTGATCCACGTTTCAATCTTGACTGAATGTCTGGATGTGATTTGTTTATTGCTCACTCGCATGTCTCACGATGTCATTCCACAGAATTGATCACCAACGTTAATGAAAAAAAAATCATCCGAGGTATATGCTTCGGTGATTTCACTCGGACGACTTAAAGGGTCATTGACATATAGAGGTATAGTTTTGCACACGTTGAATTCTTGCATCGGCCTTACCTTTAACATGCGTTTCTGTTTCTTCGTTTTCAGGGTAGTTCGGGCTTGGCCAAGGCGAATATTTCATCTCCAAGTGTACCCTCAAAAGAAGTGGTATTTTCGCAGAGGATTTGTGGTCACCGAGTTTTTGAGTGAAGAAGAAGAAAAAGAAGAAAAAAAAAACATGCAAGAATTTGATCAAGCTCCCAAAAGAAGTAAGTTGCCCCCTGTTTTTGCTTTTCGCCGTTTTCCAGTCGGTAGGTAACAGCGAGACAGCGGGCAAGCAGAAAGTCGGCCGAGGATTCGCCCCCAAATGAGCCCATCTTTAGGTTGCACAAACATCGCGCTTGCCACAAAGCTGTAACCTATAACCTGCATGACGTAGCTCTGCCATTGTCCCTAGATGAAGAACTCGGTAGCTTGAACAAAACGTGAAAGTAAACAAATATACTTGAACTCATGAAGGGATTGCTTTTACCGTCTTGTTTTCCAAAGAGTCAATAATCAATCCGTCTCTTGTCAAGATTAGGGATTCGACAATGTTGAGGCGCTGTTACCACAGTGTGAGATTGAAATGAATTGAGAGAGAAAGTCAATCTTACAGGAATCTGTGACATTGAAGGGAATTTGGCCCAATCATGGTAACTCTGCATCCCTTGAAGTTCAACTCTTTCTGAAAATAAGAATGGGAAGAATTTGACAAAGTGTTATTCATCGCTGCGGCGTGCGTTTCACGGAATCTTTAATATCGCCCCGGCACGTGAGAGTCGACGGACCGAATGACACGATGCTGTCTCATGACGCGGCGGTTCGACAGCCAACCTGGCCAAATTACATCTCCGGTTCACACGCCCAGAAACTATCGGTGAGCCAGCGCGCTTGACGGCTCCGCGTGTATATATATATACACATGCCAGATCAAAGAGGGAGTGTCATGGTGAACCAGTCGATGCGAGAACAGACACTTTTCCTGGCGTCTTTTCGTCCAAGCGCTCACTGCTTTTACGTCTTTCAGTTTTTCTTTTTCAAATTAACTTTGGCGTAGTTAGGTATTTTTAGTATGCATACGTTAGTTCTTTTCAAGGCTTCGGGCTTTCCTCTTATAATCTCTTGCAGTCACACACCTGAAGAATGAACGTTTTCTTGGATGTAAAAGTACAGTAACCTTTCAGGCTTGCTTCGTTCCATGGTTGAAAAGTACGTTCAAGCTACTTTTTAAATACAAATGTGCCTGCACAGTCACATGCATTATGGACAGAGGATCACGGCTAGAATCCTCTCGACACCGGATCTCGCTGGCTACTTGATAATGCGCATGTAGCTTCTTTCGATGCCTCATCGGCGCAGCTGTCCTTGAGCGTATCCAAACATGCACGCGTGGGGGGACCATCTGTGCCATATGGTCTTTCCCGGAATACTTGCCCGTGCTTTTAAAAGAGCCTCCGGTGAGGATGTTTAGATAAGTGGGGCAAGACAAGATGGAGTACCCCGACCAAAGCTCTCCTTGCATCAATAAGGCAGAACGACAGGACGAGATTTTTCTCACGCAGAAAAAATGTCCAAGTTTGCATTATCTTGATCCAGAGGGGTGATAAAAAAATCAGTGGGGAATGTCATGGCACGTTCGAATTCTTCCGTCTGCTTTTGCCCTGAGTTTGAAAACATGCATCATATACAGAACTTAATTATCAGTCTAGAGTATTACCATATATGGGCATAGTGAGCTATCCTTACTGATACAGCATGTTTTTTTGGTCCAAGTTCCACCTAAAATATCTCAAGTTGGCAACAACGAATTTTAAATCCCATCGGTACAAACGTATTTTAGAACTTCTAGTTTATCTGTACTCCAGTTCTTTTTAGCACAACCAATCAAATGTTTGCAGTTGATATTCTTCGTTGGTGTTTTTGGTCCGTTTGCTGCAACCTTTAAGAAAAGCACCCTGTAACCTGGAAACGCCCCATACAATCCGTCGCAGTCAGCTAGAACAAGCCTTGCGATTGGTCAGATTGTGCAAGATTCGTGGTGTAATAGGTCGCCCAAATATGGTAATACAACAGACTGATGATACTTAACAGCATCCCGTTCAAACAAGTGAGAATGTTTTACCGCCATTTAAACACCTTCCTGGTAACATTTAAGGAACGCGTTGTGGTTTTCATACTCCAAAGCTAAACACGATTTGGTGTTATTTTTTTTCAACAAATACCTGTTGATGCGTTAATAAATCTAGACACAATGGTACATTTTGGTGTTAATAAAAAGAAACAAAAACACCTCATCGGGGATAACACTTTCTGAACACAAAAAAGGGTGTGATTTTAAACACGTATTTACAATTAACGTAAAGACGTGTTTATAACGGGCGTTGGTTTTTACAGTGTATGTACAATCTTCCGCTTAATCTATTCCTTGGTGTTGCGGTTTGGTTGTGGCTGTACCCCGAAAACGCAATGCATCTCCTTCGGTTGTGAAGGATATCAAGCACACTGAAGGTCAGAAGCCCAGAGCTGTTTTTCTTGAAAGACAATGTCTGCAAATTGCAATGGTATCTAGATTTGAGTCTAATAATCGCAGGGGGTGGGTGAAATCTGCGCGGGTGCAGTACTTTCAGGCCATCCGGACACAAGGCACAGGAGATTTTTCAGATCGATGGAAATTAATCGAGAGAAATGCAGCCTCAGCCAATTATCGATCGATTGGTCGATTAAACAAAATCTGCGGCTTTTGTTGAGCAAAAGGAAATCAAGAAGCCGTGGCTAGACTCGCTTGTGTTTGGGAACGAGGTCGCCGTGGAAGTAAACGAATTATTGCGTCAGGATTGGGCCTTTACTGTTATTGCTGAAAAAGAGGCTGTACTGGCAATCTTGGCCACTTGATTGGGATTTAGAGAAAATTAACGTAAAGGATAAGTAATCTGCTAACTAACAACATGAATTAATTTTCGTGGAAGTAATAAGGGAAACTATTCAGGAACTTGACATTTTCAAAATGTACCCATGTATCTGCTTCAGATTCCGTGCACTCTAATACTTGACTCTCTAATGGAAAGCTAGCTCCTTATGTAGTAATTCGAGTTATGTCATCGAAGCACAACGGATATGATCCAAAGCTAGACTTTGAAAATTATCGTTCTTACTCCTCGAGCAACAAAACAGTATACGCATTGTAATTCGTCATGTGCGTGCAGGGCTCACATTGCCGTAGAATCAAGACGTCCGGATAAGACGAAGTGCCTCGGCTTTTAAATTGACGCTTAAGATTGAGGTTGACCGCAACATTATGTCTCAGATAACACATACCGTCTTCGATCTCCTGACTCAGCGGAAGCTTCATTAGAAGCAACAGGTGGCAGTACAGAGACAAACGTGCCAGACCCTGTCTTATTTACTTGAGTGAGGCTTGAGATTGTACGCCATTGAACTTCTAGGTAGCGGGTGCAACCGATATCGCATAGTCGTGTGTAATTTTAAGCAGCGCAGTCAAGTGTATTTTTTGTGGGAGGGGCAGTTCTGACCGACAGTTGACATGCACTCCAACTAGTGTTCAGTAACAGGTTTTGGGATTTTATGTACTCAGCCATTCCTCGATAACTGTTCCTCTAGGGCTGAGTAACCTCTAAATGCAAAATAGTGAAAAAAGACACTTTCAAAAAGATTGAGTCTGTTATATAAGTAACCGAAAGAGTAAAAGCCACTCCAAAAGGAAGTTTTACTAAGCCAGAGAGCGAAATAGAGAACAACTCGAAAAAAGAGTTATTCCTTTACGTGGCTCATCTTTTAGAATGATCTTCATTCTCTTGGAGTGGTTTTTTCACTCTTTTAGAGTGTTTTGCACTCGCTTTGAGTGGGTCTATAAGGAACTCACTATTACTGTCTATTGCATAAAATGGACGTGATTGTTGTTCAGTTATAAAAAGAGAGTAGTTTCTAAGAAGCGGAATGGTCTCAATAATTCTGATCAAATGCTTTCGGTCCGAGTGTTGGTAAACTTTTGACCTCAACTGTACACGTGCATAGGTTCATGGCCAATGGCAATACATGCAAGGACCTATTTGCAGAACGCACCCGTGCATACGGTGTGCGCCTGGACCGGGCAGTCAAATACCTTCCTGATTTCCGGCTGGCGAGCCAGCGAGGCGGTCGAGATTTTGCGACCGCGAGGTGGTGTTTATGCCCGGCCGTCAGCTTCGTTAATTACTCTGCGGGCGCAGCTATGAGCGGAATTCTTCAGCGAGGAATTTAATCAGTCGTTTTAGAACATGGGATGAAATCAAGCCGCTGGCTACCAATATCTCACAAACTCCGTAGTTTCCCCTTCCATCAGCGGGTGCCGCTGTTTATGTCAGCCCACACCACCCTTCCATGAATCGATAAGTTGATACTTGGGCCGCAGTGTGTATGCAAATAGATTTTTCGGATACGCTTTCCTGCGCTGCCAAAGAGAGAACCGAAAGGCAAATGCCGACGGGGTCTATTATCAAGTTCGATGACCAATTCACATGAACACTGAGGTGAATCATTGAAGCTGCTCAATTCTCCGATCGGACTCGCCAACCAAGCGGCGCCGTGTACTTCGTATTGCTCGCGGCTCTTTTTGGGGGTGCGGGGTTGTCCTTGGGTTTGTCATGGCCGTTGCTGGAAATGTAGTGTAAGCATGGCTATGTGTGAGCCAGTAGCTAACGGCCGCCATCTCTTTCCCGTGGACGCATGTGCTACCCCCCCCCCCTTTTGCAGCCTCTGCGCCAGTAAGATTTTAATAGTAGTGGTAAACAATATCACATGGGCTGCAGTGATCCTGGAAAGGAATTGTTCGTTGTTTGTGCAAGAATGTATAAGGATGAGTTATCTTTGTGGATTGTATTCTATTGTGATCCACTTAAAAGCATATACCATATTAAAAATCATCCGTAAATGCAAAAGAGTGACAGGCTCACCCTCAAAAAGAGTGGGGTCTTTGTAACACCACGCCAAAGGAGTGAAATCCTCTCTCACAGAGTAAAAGCCACTCTAACAAAGAATGAAAAGTGATGAAGAGATCAGCAAAAATGGCCTCCGGTCCTCCAAAAGCCGTGTACATGAGCATCTGCTTTCCACATCGTGATGTCGTTTAGAGAACCCTGCCTTCTTCTAGGCTGCTGTGAACCACTGATTGGTTATACGCTTAAAGTGCTGTGTTGCCTATATTAGGTAATAACCAGTGTTGTAGTCGAGT